GCCATGCCATCTTCTAAAGCACGGACTTTGACACGTTTGCCTCCATCCAACACGGTTCCTTGTTCCTCTTCCGCCAAACTAGTGCAAGCCTTCAACGCAGCCACAAAGCTGAGGGCATTTGGAGCAGCCCCGGATCGTTCCATGCATGAAAACAGCTCGAGAACCAAGCCAGCTTCTCCGTGCTCTACGTATCCAAGCATCAAAATGTTCCACGACACGGTCGATCGATCCAGTGCCATGTCAAACACTCTGCGAGCATCCACCATGCTCCCACACTTGGCATACATGTGTACCAGAGTGTTTGCTACGAAAATATCCGAATGAAACCCCTGCTCTAGCGCTTGAGCATGGATTTCCATCCCCTTACGCAGCGAATGTAACTTGATCATACTTTTCTTCCTCTCGACTGTATCATCCAGTACGTTAACTTCTTCGGCTGCCAGGAGCGAGCAGGCCTTCAACGCAGGGACAATCGTTCGAGGATTGGGCTGACAATAGTTCTCCTCTTTCATGCGTGAGAACAAGTCGAGAGCAATGCATGGCTCGCCGTTTTCAGTATAGCCTTGTATCAGCACAGTCCACAAAACGACACTAGGTAGAATGGAAGAACACCTCAAGAGTTTGTCAAACACGGCGCGAGCTTCCACCATTCTTCCACACTTGGCGTACATCTCCATCAAGGAGCAGCTGACAAAGGCATCTGCGTCACAGCCACTGCAGGTCGCTCGCGCGTGGATGGAAATGCCTCTCTCCAAAGCCCTGAGCTTCACTAGTTTCCCATCATCAACCTTTGCGCCTTCTTCCTTTGCAGCCAGAGCAACGCAGCTCTTGAGTGCTGCTACAACGCTCGCGGGAGCTTTTCTTCTGCCCATTCTCCTCACCGAGCATTACTTCTTGGTGTCTGAAAACCTTGAAGCCAGCAGCGTTGCCATCCTCTCTGCAGCAGCAAGCAGCAAGCATCTCCCTCGCAAGTGCCACGCTACGGCATTTGTCATACATTGTGATGAGCATACTTGTTTGGTGTGAGAACCAGCGGCCACCGCAGCGCATACCATCGTCCCTCTATCCAAATCCCTGGCTTGGCTCCACAGGCTCTTTTTTCCCCTTGCCGGATGACCCGCCACTCTCGATTTGGAGAACAAACCCTGATCGCTCCTTCCATCGATCTTTCAGCGCTCTTGCAAGATCTAGAGGGAAGAGAGAGCTGTTTTAGGGTTCTTCGATAGTGGGGTTCGATTGTTTTGTTCGAGGCGTGGCGCAGCGATTTACATTTCTTGCAGCAGGCTCTCTGGATGCCTTGCCTGTGAGACGCTTTGATCTCGGGCCACGCTGAGAATGGCGAAGAATCTCGCGCTTTGGAAGCGTTCTCAAAGGCTATTCCATCGTTTTCAAATAAAGAGATCGAGCGTGAAAGCATGCTAGCTGCAAATCTCCGATCTTTTGCCCCAATTCTTCCATTTGGTCGAAGAACTGCGAGCTCGAAGATCTCGACGTCCACTAGAGCTCAGGCATCTGGTGGAAGATCAAACACATGATAAAATATATAAAAAGTGACTGTTAAAATGTAGTGAGAGTCAAAGCAGCACTTGGATCCCACTGCCGACTGCTCCACCTCATGGAGCTCAATTCATAGCTCAACAACAGCTTAGATGACCGCATCAACACCCACAGTTTATCAACCTCGTCGGTGCAGCACAGAAATTACATTTCACTCTTGAACTCACTCTCGAGCAAACAGTCACTGTGGAGCGTTTCGCAACCGGACTCCAGTACGCGTTCAGGTCTGTGTCTGATCCCCAGTTCCCCGTCCCGGCTTGCGTCACTCACGATCAGCAGCCGCCCTCCACAGTGCACCGGCCTTAGACTGGCATCAATTAAAGGGAGGCGCCGTGAAGCCACCAAGACGACCATACCATACACCCCCGCCACCTTTCTCCCACGCACAATCTCGCACTGGATAAAAAGAGCCCCAATGGGCTGTGGGTTCACGAGGTGGTTGCGGAATCGTAGATCTAGGGAGCCAATCTCCCCCACCCGCCTAAAAGAGAAAAGCTTGAAGCAGCCAGGGACGCATTAACCTCATGTCCCCGCATTTGCTATACATGTAAACCAGGGTGCTCGCCACCTTTAAGCTTGAAGCGAATCCATGCTCCACGGCTTGCTTGTGGATGACGATTCCTTTGTTCAAGAGCACTAGCTTCTCTGAGCCTTCACTTCCCATCCTGGCAAGGCCACCGCAAGCTTTGGGCGCCGCAATGCACGTGAAACTATCAGGCTCATAGCATCTCATCGTCATTCTCTCGAAGAACAACTCGAGAGCACTTCCCCAGCTCCGGCATTTGGAGTACATGTCCATGACTGCGCTCGCCACGACTCAAGTCCCTGCGGCTTGATATCTTTGTAGAACGTTCGATTGGAGGCCTCGCTGCTTCAATCGCTCGTGAAATGGCAATGGCTCTCTCGAGCAAACTCACGCGGAGATAGACTTCTCTTGCTAATCAGCCTTGAGCGCTGCGACATAAGCAAACGCGTCGGCTTCAAGGTCCATGCTCGCGAACAGGCTCAAAGCCAAGGAGAAATTGCCATTGTCAACATAAGCCAGGATGACGGAGTCCCAGGCAACAAGATCGCGCTGGATCATCGCGTCAAACACCTCCCTTGCAAGTGTCACGCTGCGGCATCTGCTGTGCATTGTGATGAACACCGACACCACAAACTTATTGGTGTGGAAACCAGCAGCCACCGCAGCGAAATGGACCGTCTTAAATCCCACTGCTCGATCGCCGTAACCAGCTCGGCTCTCCTGACTCTATTCGATCCGACCCTCTCGCCAGTGCTCCAGGCAGCAGCGATCCTCTCGATCTGGAAGAGCCCATTTTGTTGCCGGAGCAAATGCATACCTTGATCACTCATTCCATCGATTTCGTGAGCTCTCGACTCCACCCACACTCACCCAGAGAGGTCTCCAAGAACTCTCATCTCTACAATAAAGGAGTTATGTTTTCAACTTCAAGAACCGTAGTTGCTTAGCTTCCCTTGCGGCAAACTCTGGCATTTGCAAAAACTCTCCCTGGACGGCAGTAGTACTTCTTCTCGGGTGCACAGTGCTCGTCCGAGGAGCACAGGCAAAGCCCCTCGAGCGCGCAGTGCTTTGCCTGGCTATTGGCCACGCCGCTGGAGCTCAATCCAAGCATGGCGTCCGACCACTCGCTGGAGAAGAGCCCCTCAGAATCAAGGCTTTGCTTCACTTGCAAGAAGGTGGCGAGGCCTGGATACTTTTCAGCCGCTCCTATGAAAGCAACGTTGCGGTTCTTCCCCCAGTGCGGCTGACCCCGGTACTTAAACACCGCCAGCTGCTCGATTTCCTCGTAGACGTCTTGATTCAGCCTGGGAGTGTGTGCGTCCCTGGATCGATAGTATGTGATGTCGACGTCCACCGAATCCTCAGATTTTCCCAAGAAGGCCATGGATCCTCTCACGTATCGCAGCAGCACGCCATAATAGAGCTCGGCGCCGCAGAAGGCGCTCGGATTCATGTCCCGCAGCTTCTTCACGTCCACAATGAAGTCTCGGATCCTGTCCAGCGATATGGAGACGGTTGTCTGGTGGAAGAACAAGCCGTGTGCTTGGGGATCCCACGGACAGAAGTGGTGTTGATCCAGGACGTTCTCACAGGTACCGGTTGTCTGGATCTTGTTCTGGAAGCCAATGACTGGATATCCGGTGAACTTTTGCAGCTGGTTTTTGAATCCCATTCCGGCCATGACTAGAGTGTCGACCTGGAGCGTGGACATGGTGCATTTACCGGCTGGATTGTTGGTGGCTTCGTAAAGCTCCTCTGCACAAGATAAGCACAATGTCAACGCTCTCTGTGTTCTCTGTTTGAACCAAGGAAACTAGAACTTACCAGACATCCTCAGCATTCTTAGCAGTGCAGTTGCTTCGGGTCTGAAACCAAGAAACTCGTTCACTCCCTCCCCTGGTGTGTCCACCGGAACTCGGTTATCAATCCGGAAGAGAGCTGTCTTTTGCGACGGATACCAGGCAACGTCTCCAAACTCGGCCATCCTGCCATGCTCTACAATCTCATCCTCCAAGCTTGCATCGGCTTTCTGCTGGATTCGGACGGACCTCTTGAAGAGCGGCTCTAGAGCGAGCGTGGCTTGCGAGACGACGCCTAAAACTCCAAGCGATACTCTTGCAGCGTTGAGCATCGCCTCACTTGTTACGTTGATTACTCTGGCGTATCCTTCTTCGGCCGAAGGAGACGGAACTATCAGCCTCATGGCGATGACGTACTCGTGAACTGCAGATCCCTTCCCGAACAGAGAACTCCCATGAGCTCCCGTGCTTATCACTCCTCCAATGGAAAGCCCGTTCCAGTAGGGAGAATGCGGCAGCGAGAGCCCGAATTTAGCAACGCTGTCCACCAAGTCCTGGAGCTGAACCCCCGAATCTACAACGACGGTCTTTGTAGATGGATCCACTTGAACAATCCGGTCGAGTTTCTGCGTGCTGATGATGAGACCTTCGTCACCCCCGGGACAGACGAGCTTGGTCATGCTGTGAGAAGATTTACTTACAACTTTCATCTTCATCTTGTTCCGAGATCCAAAGGCCACAGCAGTGACAAGCTCTTCCTCCGAAGCAGGGAACAAAGCTCGTGCGGCTCTACATGGTGAGCGATCGGGCCACGTCCCATACGTCCCAGACACAGTGCAGTTGAAACTCCCGTTGGCCAAGCAGCGAACTGGTGGCAGCGGCGTCCCGTGACTCGTCTTCAAGAGCAACAGCCAGTGTACAAGACTCGAAGCGATCAACCAGAGCTTGCACGCATCCATAGAACTCGAGAAGGGAGCGCTGAGGATGACGAAGTTGGACTTGAGCTGAGCTGAGTGTGCTTGAAGCAAGTTTCTGCTGTCTGATCCTGTCATCATCATCTGAACCACTGTGCTCCTGATGTGCTTCTGAGTGGAGCTTCTTTTTTTCCCAGTCCGGCATCATTTCCTTCTGCGTCCAGAAAGGTGCTTCTGTAGTTAGATACTGGTCGTCGACTATCCCCGAAGTAGTAAGTAATCCTACTGATTAGCAACTATCTCCCAGTCTACTTGCGATCTGAGCGCTAAACAGCCTCGCATCCCATACTCGAGCACGTCCCTCATGAATCTGACCTTCTCCACCATTTCTCCTAGCGTGGACATATCTTCCAACTCCTCCTCATCTGACGTAGTTTGCTCGTCAAGGAATCCTTGATCAGCTGCTGCATTTTCATTCTCTGCCGCACATGGAGCAGATGACGTCGAGCTTTCATCAGGTCCGGAGTCTGTGATCATGCTCGCCACTGCATTCCAGCTTTCAGGTCTCAAAAGAACAACAAAGCCACCATACCTTTAGGAGAAAGCTTGTGTCTTTCTTCTCGTCGAGTAGCAAAAGCAGGACTCTCCAGGTTTACCAGAGGAGGAAGCTGCACATAAGTAGTTGAGTGATGAACAAAGAAGAAGTGCTCACACAAACCTCAGGCATGAGCGTGTTTTTCTTGACGGACCAGCCAGACTCCATCGACCATTGCAAGCCTGGTCTCAGCTCATTCTTGCAAACTTGATAGTCTCCTCCCTCTCCAAACGGAAAATCGGGGCACCGAATCTGTGTGACAAGGAAACAAAACCGACTTAAAGGACAGGAAAGAGAATCACACGCTCTCCTACCTTCACAACTTCGGCGCTCACCATCTCGATCACCATACACTCCCAAAACGCGCCGCTCAGCACGTAGTCGGCGTGATCTCCCACCGCCCAATCCCGATCGAAGAAAGAATGTAGCTTGGAAACCTCTTTCGGATCGGCCGGAGCGACCATGAGAGGATACGCTGGCCGGACCATCATCCTCTTCATCGGCCGCTTGTTTGGCACCACCTGATAGAGCTTGTGCGAGTAGTCTCCTGCTCGAGCGAGAAATGTGAGAGGGGAGAGGGGAGATGAGAAATCCGTCCGAGGAAAGAATCACCACAACACCACATACTATCTGTGAAATCCAAATATCGCACCAAGCATCTTGCGCCGCTGGGAGGCCTCTTCCACTCCAAAATCTGTGAGAAGAACGCCTCAAGATCGAGCAAAACAGCGCCGCCATTCCTTTACCTTGCCACGAAACCAAGCGCCTCGATACCCTTCCATGAATGTCGTGCATTCGACCTCCTCGCCGACGTGAAAGGGGACCCTCTCCCTTCTTGCCATCGCCCGCCGCGAGAGCGCCGATCGAATCAATGCTGGACGCGCCCTCGAAAATTGGCGCCTAGGGGTTTAGATCATGAATATGGAAACAAAGCTCGGGAATATTCTCATGAATCATCATTCCGTACGCTGTTTTATGTGAGGAGGAAATCGCCCATCTTCGGTCCGTTTGATCTGTTCTTGGACGTCTTGTTCACATCAAGCTTGAGCTTGTCCTCCGCGTAGATCATCCTCACTCTTGCTCTCCTCGTCCCTGGCGCTTTGACGATCGGATCCATACATGGATCATCCCCGATTGCTAGCGAAGAACAGCTGCTGCCTTCTCGGCTGGCGGCGCTGCTGCTGCTGGCGCTGCTGCTATTCACAATCTTCTTGCTCTCGAGCTTTCTCTTCACCTCCAGCAAGGACGATCGCTTGTAGAGCTTCCACTGATCGTACCCCTCGGCTGCCAGATCCAGCGACGACTTGAGCGGCTTGACGATGCTGTTCCAGATGGGCATCTGGATCCTCTTGCTGATCTCCCGCAGCTCCTTGACAACCTCGGCCATCGTTGGTCTCCGAGAGCTCGAGAGCCTGACGCAGCGAGCAGCAACTCCAGCCATCTCGTTGAGAGCCTCGGCATTGGTGGGATGCTTGGACTTTGGATCGCAGATCGCAGCACCCTTTCCCTGCTTGATCAGCGGCAGCGCCCAGTCGACGATGTTGGGAGGATAGTACTGCACGTCGATCGCGTTCCTGCCGCTCATGATCTCCAGCAAGAGAATCCCGAAGCTAAACACGTCCGTCTTGGTGCTCAAGTGGCCGGGACTCACGTATCCCGGATCCAGATATCCCATCGTCCCCGCCGGTGGAGTGGAGAGCCTGATCACGTCCTCGATCCGCCCACGAAGAGCCAGACCAAAGTCCGCTAGCCGAGCGTTCCAGTCCGCGTCGATCAAAACGTTGGACGACTTGATATCGCGGTGGATCACTGGAGGTGACGCGCTGTGGAGAGCTCTCAACCCCTTGGCGATCTGGAGCGCGACCTGGACGCGAATGCTCCAGCTCAGTGGCTCGTTCCGGCAGTGGAGGATGTCGTGAAGAGTTCCATTGGCCATGTAATCCACCACCAAGACGGTCTCCTTGTTGTCCCTGCTATAGCCCACCAGATTGACGAGCCGCGTGCTCCTGATCTTGGAGAGAATTTCCAGCTCGTTGTCGAGAGGATTATCGTCCTGGCTGTTCTTCCTGGCCAGGGACGATCGCTTGACCGCGACGAGCTTGCCATCCCTGAGGCAGCCCTTGTAGACCCAGCCATAGCTGCCCTTTCCCAGCAAGAATTCTCGCGCAAAACCCCCAGTGGCAGCCTCGAGATCCTTGTACCTAAACGTCTTGAGCTTGGCCGGCTCGATGTCGTCCTTGTGAGCCTTGCAAGTGATCACGGCCGACTCCGTCTTGCATGACAGATGAACCATCTCCTCTTCCTCCTGCGCTCGATCTAACCTTCCCGAGCTGGATCATCCGCTCCAATCCATGCCTTAGAATCTAGAACTGATCCTCGCGGATTCTCGAGAATGCGCTGCGGCATCGCGATTACCTGGAGAGAACACGAAGGCGGTGCGTCGCGCCCGCCCGAGCGCCATCGCTAAGCGCTCCTGGTCGCCATAGCCACAACAACTGTGGCCAGCCACAGCCGTCGGACCCAGGGCCAATCCAACGGCTGCGATCAAACGCGTCATAAAGGCTGGGAAAATACGCGCCTGGAGCATCAAAGAACGAACAGTGATCGCTCATCGTGAAATCTTTTTTTACGTCCCCAAGATCAGAGCTCTCCTAGGGCTCTCGATTCACAGCCCGGCAATCCCTCCGAATCTCACCATCGCTGCCCGTGAGCACATTGAAGCTGGTGAGCTTGACGAAGCCGTCGCTGAATTTGGCGAAGAAGAGGAGCTGATTGAGCGCGAAGAGATCGACATGCTTCTTGGTGCGTGGATCGATGGCGAGCTCCGCGTCCACGGTGAGCAATCCGCGCTGGCCTTGCAGATCGCGGAAGTACTGGTTGTCAAACATGAAATTGGTGAGATCGTTGGGCGCGAATGTGGCATTGCTCATCGAAGGGGGTGATTGGCACAAGACCCTGAGCGCCGTGGAGAAGAAGGGCGACATCTGGGGGCCATTGTCCTGGGGATCGAAGCGATTGATGAAATTCAGGCAGTGCCCAACGCCCAATGTGTGAGCTCCTGCCAAGAAATCGACCAATCCATGATCGATCGATGCGGAGATGGGATTGGGATGGTTTTCTTACCTAAGATGGCGACGCTCTCTTCGATGTCAAGGCCTTTTTCCGCGAGAGTGTCGAGCATCTCACTCACAGTCAATGTTGGAGGGGGCAGCGCTTCGTCCGCGTTTAAGTTACTGGCGAAGAGAGTGTCTCTTCGCCCAGTTTCGATCGAGATTTGTGGACCACCAGACTGCAAGATCAAGAGCAAAGTGTTAGAAGTTCCTCAACTCAAGCTGATCGATCGATCGATCGAACAAGAAAAGATCCCCACACCATTGCGATGGCGTCCCTGGCAGCCATAACGATGATGTCGGCGCAAGAGACGATGCCGGGGCATTCCTTTTCAATGGCGGCCTTGATGTCGTGAATGTAATCCAAGCGGCGAATGGAGAAATTCTTCTCCGACACGGTCTCGGCGGTCATCGCGGAAGATGTCTCGAGTAGAATCGAAGCATCGCATCCCTGCAAAAGCAAGTCGAGAGCTTTCTCTTCCCTCCTTTCCTCTCAAGAATCGTCACGATCACCGCAATCACGTACCTCAACCTGGCAATCATGGAAGACGACGCGGAGGAGCGCCGCAGGGGCGGTGGGATCGCTCATCCTGTTTCGTTGGAGCGTTCTTCGAGCAATATCCTCTGCCTGGGGGCACGAGAGCGCGTAGAATTTGTGCTTGAGCCCACTGCCACCATCGCCGCCGCTTGATGATTCCTGAGCATTGGCAAAGCTTAAGCTTCCCAGGAGCGACAAGATCAGCAAGATCGCCAGCATGATCACGATCTAACGAGAACGACAGAAGAGAGAGACAAAAAGAAACAAAAGATAGTTTTCTCTCTCGCCTCGCTCGCTCGCCTCACTCGCCTCGCCTGGAATGAATCGATTGAAAGTGAGGGTTTTGAGTCAAAACGCGAAGGAATCAGTGCCAAGCGCGACGTCGGCCATTAAGATTCGTTCCAATCGTCAAGCATGCAGCACGCCAGGAGAAATTGTTTATGAACGAGAGGGTCCGGGGAATAAGCGATTGCAAGCTCCGCCATTAAGTAGCGCGCCGCTCGAGAGCCAAGAACACATTTGAATTTGCCCTAAACGCAACGAATAATTTACATGGTTGGAGGTGAGTGACAGTGAAAGAGCATGGCTAACACTTAGATTGTGAGAACAGCGCCTATCGGTCGACCTGCCCGTGGATCCGCAAAGAGGATAAACTGAATGCTGTGGATGCAATGGGGATCAGAAAGTGTGTAGTGGTATTGGCATCCACAGTTGCCAATATGAGGCTATTTTCCACTAGGCAAGCTTGTCCCCACTATGGGAGTCTTTGATGATGATATTTGGGATGAGCTTGGTGTCCAGAACAGTATTGCCAAGGATGCTGTTGTATGTAACATGTATTTATTTGTGTGTTATTATTATTAAGTATTATTTATTGAAAGAATTTTAAAACTCAGTTGAATGTATTCCTAAAACTATAGTTTTCTTAATGCTGAAATAAAGTTTGGTATTATGAGCATAAGATAAAGTAATTATTTTTTCAATGATTATATATTAGAAAAAAAATTGGTGAGACTATTTTATCTTTTATTATAGTTTACAATAAACTTTATAAGTAATTAAACTTTTTCTTTCCAGTTTTGCTAATCAATTGATTTTCATTACTCTTTACAAACAATTACAAACAATAACAAATAATAAAAGGAAACAATAACAACCCTGAGTCATCACCCAAATGCAGACATTATTCAAAGGATTGTTTGGGTTGTGGGAACATCGCTTATTTCAATATAGTTACATATTCTTAAATAAATGGATAGTTTTTTTGTAATAACTATAATGTGAATATTTATGACTTAACTCTATTTTTGTATATTTTTAAACATAAGCTATTGAACTCACCCTTGGTATTTAGGTGAAAAGTTTATAATTATAAACACAGAAAGAAATAAATTTTTCTTACTAAAAAACATGAAAAGCATATTATATTGTTTGCAAAATGATAATTTTAAAGTCATTTTCACACACTTGTTTTGATTATATATGTTTCAGCTTTATTTTGTGAAATAGTCAATTAAACATCACAAATATTACTTTATTTAACTAAAACAAAACATATAAAATCCTTTTATAATAATTGTTAAACACTTTTTATAGTAAATTAACTATAATTTTTTAATCTAAAATACCTTTCTTTCTTTTCTATATTTCCATGTAAATGGCTAATATAACCTAAAATTGTTACACCCATGTGGTGAGTGATGATATAACTATTAAAAAGTTCAAAGTTAGAGTGAATATGGATAGATAAATGGGGTGACTTGATTTAGGGTTTAAATTTTAAGGCTAATATATATATGGAAAACAAGAGGAGTAATCTTTTTGCTCAATGACCAAGAGTATAATCACGTGGTGAAGAAGTCTTAAAGGTAAATGGAACTTAATGATTGGGCCTCTAGAGCTCTAATCTAGTGATATTGTTAACAAGCACTGTCGTGGATAAAAAAAAACTTGGTGGAATTGAGGGAAGGATATTAAAAATGGTATTTCCCATATTTTAGAATATCATAAAGATGTTAAAGTGTAGTCATAAAATAACCACCCATGAATGAAAAAAAACTTAGTAGGATTGAAAAAAAGATATTGAAAATGATGATTCTTATATTGTAGAACATTATAAAAGTGTTAAAGTGTGGTCATGGGATGACCAC